CAGCAGGGTAGGCCTTGTCAACCATCTTGTGCTGCTCACACCCGTTGTTGGATGGTGTGGTCTCGTTCTGGCCCTTTTCGTTCGCATTGTTGGGGGTACTGGACACCGGGCGCCTGGCATACCGTCTCGATCCAGCGCCGCGCTCCCGCTTTGCTCATACCCATGGAGACTGCCTGCTGAGTCTGCGTGTTTAGCCGCCGTCAGCGGTGAGCGGCCTTGCCGGTGCTCCCTGCTGTGCCCGTGGACTGGACAACATGGAGCCTTCCAGTGTTTATCCTCTACGACGCTCAGCGGTCTGCGTGAACAATTTGCGCGTGCTCTGGTTCCTCCTGCCATTTTGATGCCAGTCTGGCCTGCTCCCCGCCCCGATCGCCTGACGTTTGTTCCGGGCCTTGAGGCCAGCTCGCCGTTTGCCTCTGTGGTTGTCTTGCAAGAAGGGGCGCATTACCTCATCTTGTCCGTGTTCCCGACCCTGATTACCAGGTCGGGGTCCTGCTGGACTCCATTGACGGTATTCGCAGTATCAGTTGTGTCAAGAGGTGTCGGCTTGGGGATCTCTCGGGCGACTTCCACACCTTGCCCAGTGCTCTCCACGTGGTGGGAGTCAACCATACGCCTGCTGACGAGCTTGTCCTGCGTGATGGGGATGTTCTCTGGGACTCCTTCATGTATGACTCTGACCGACCCGCGGCGATCCAGCTTTGTCAGTTCCAGTTTCGCTTGCCGTCCTGCTTCCGTCTTGGCGCTGGAGCTTTCTGGGGATTGCTCTTCAGAGTTTCGCGTGGGGAGCGCCGCTTGCGGCTCCTGAGCCAGCTGAGCGCTCCCGCTCGCCTGGGCGTGCGATGCGTGCTCCCAGTCCGCGCTTCGGCTACTGGCGCCCAGATCAGCCTCAGGCTTTTCGTGATGTGCTGACGCGCCACCAAGCTGCCTATAGGGTTTTGTGCCCGTGGCACTTCCCTGTGGGGGAACTCTGATCTTCGTCGTCCGCATGCCCAGATTCTCTGAACTAAAAACTCAGCTAGCCAGATAGACTACACAGGACAGTTGAGTAACCACACCTTATTCCCCAGGGCATACTGGGCGACCAGTTTATGTTACTGTTGTTTCTCTCTCTCTCTCTCTCTCTCTCTCTGTCTCTGCTCCTGGCAGGTTTTGCCTCAGTGCCGAAATATCCAACGACACACCACGTGCGACTTGCGAGCTCGTTGAACGAGTCCTTCTTTGAGGAATCGAAACGTTTTGTCTCAACCCTGCCCTGCTGCGGCTGGTTGAAGTCGCCCAACCGTGTTCAGGACGAATCACCCGCCGACACGGGGAGGTGCTGATGAGAAGGAAGGGTGCTGGAACCAAGACAGTAGAGTTCAACAGGGCACTTGCTCTGCCAGAACCTTCCGCAACAACGACCGATGCAGAGCTTAATCATGTAGCGCTCACCTTTTGAAGCAACGTGCCAAAATTCAATACCTACAAAACAACGAAGCGCCCAACATGCATTGGCGACGAGTTGGAACAGCATTCCATCAGAATGTCAAGACCGGGATTGAGGGAGCTGCCATGGCTGCAGATTTCATGGCTGCTGTTTCTTCCAGGGCCCGAGCCATTGCCACGCATGCTACACTCGCATATTATGGCACTCTACATCGAAATGGTGTCACCCATGGCCCATGCCTTGGGACGCAGTTAGGTCGTGGTGGGGAAAGTGGACAGTGGCCCGGCACTCCGAACTCCCACCTGCTCCATGTATCTTGACACGAAGACAGTGGCCAAGGAAGGGGCTTCCGCCTGAATATGAACAATGTGTGGTAGCTGAGCACTACCTCCTTGAAGGTCATCGAAACGTCAAACCATCTGGGCTCAAGTCTCGAGGCCACTTGAAACAATATCATTACAGACAAGGCATGAATCCCATTCCCTCCCAAGCTAAGGCATTGTTGGATGGATTTGCTGAAAAAATTAATGCCTTGCCAGCCCACCGATGTAAAGACATGATGTGACTCGCACTCTTTCTCTGTCTCTACCAGGAAAGAGGACAGGGGCGACAACGATTCTTTCTCTTTCTCTCTCACTCGCTCACGAAATATTTCGAGAAGTGTGGCTCCCTAAACCCAGAAACCCTAAACCCTAAACTCTTACACACCCTACACCCAGACCCGTTAACGCTAAGCCCCTGAACCCAGAAGCCCTAAACCCCTAAAGCAGAAACCCTAAACCCGGAAACCTGTAACCCTAAGGCCCCCAACCCAGAACCCCTGAAGCCCGCAACCCAAAAACCCTAAATCCAGAAGCCCTAAACTAAACCCTAAACCGAGAACCCTACATGCCTAAGCCAGAAAACCTATTCCCAGAAACCAAACCCAGAACCCCCTAATACAAACCCCTAATTACACCCACAACCCCTAAACCCCTACGACCAGAAGGTGGCAACCCAGAAACTTTAAACCCAGAAACGCCTAACCGTAAAGCCCTAAATCCAGAACCCCTAAATCTCAAGCCAAGAAGCCCACATCCCAGAAACCAAAAACCAGCAAGAAGTGCAAAAATGAATTAAATGACCGGATAACCCCACATGCGTATTTTAGCGAAGGGTTGGCAGCAATTCCAGAAACAGAGGGAGTAAGAGCAAGTGAGCGAAAGGTGAGTGAGAACAGTGAATGGGGCGAGGACGACCACGGGACGGAGAAGCATGAAGCATAACAGGTTTTGAGCTCATTTACGATGCATCCTATCACAAAGCCCGAAAGTCCCACAGGCCCCTAAACCTGAAGCCGTACTAAGCCGTAGAGCCCTAAACCTCTGAACCTTCAAAGTCATCTACCCTAAACCCTGAAACTTATCACAAAGGTCCGAAAGTCCCACAGGCCCCCTAAACCCTAAGCCGCACTACGCCTTAGAGCCCTAAACCTCTGAACCCTCGAAGTCATCTACCCTAAACCCTAAACCCATCACACAGCCCGAAAATAGCCCTAAACCTCTGAACCCTCAAAGTCATCTACCCTAAACCCTAAACCTTATCACAAAGGCTTTGTGATAGGGTTTAGGGTTTAGGGTAGATGATTTTGAGGGTTCAGAGGTTTAGGGCTCTAAGGCGTAGTGCGGCTTAGTGTTTAGGGTCCTGTGGGACTTTCGGGCCTTTGTGATAAGGTTTAGGGTTTAGGGTAGATGACTTTGAGGGTTCAGAGGTTTAGGGCTCTACGGCTTAGTACGGCTTTTGGTTTAGGGGCCTGTGGGACTTTCGGGCCTTTGTGATAGGGTTTAGGGTTTAGGGTTTAGGGCAGATGACTTTGAGGGTTCAGAAGTGTAGGGCTCTAAGGCTTAGTACGGCTTAGGGTTTAGGGGCCTGTGGGACTTTCGGGCTTTGTGATAGGGTTTAGGGTTTAGGGTTTAGGGTAGTCGACTTTGAAGGTTCAGAAGTGTAGGGCTCTACGGCTTAGCACGGCTTAGGGTTTAGGGGCCTGTGGGATTTTCGGGCTTTGTGATAGGGTTTAGGGTTCAGGGTTTAGGGTAGTCGACTTTGAAGGTTCAGAAGTGTAGGGCTCTACGGCTTAGCACGGTTTAGGGTTTAGGGGCCTGTGGGATTCTCGGGCTTTGTGATAGGGTTTAGGGTTTAGGGTGGATGACTTTGAGGTTTAGGGCTCTAAGGCTTCGTACGGCTTAGAGTTTAGGGGCCTGTGAGACCTTTGGGCTTTGTGATAGGGTGCATTGCCAATGAGCTCAAAACTGTTATGCTTCATGCTTTTCCGTCCCGCGCGTCCACGCCGTCTCGTCCGTGTCGTCCTCGCCCCATTCACTCTTCTCTCTTACCTTTCGCTCACTTGCTCTCACTCCCTCTGTTTCTGGAATTGCTGCCAACCCTTCCCTAAAATACGCATGTGGGGTTCTCCGGTCCTTTAATTTGGCAATTTTATGGGTTAAGGTAGGGATGGTCGCCCTCATGCCCCACTCTGAAGCTCAAGACTTGCAGCACGGACCCCAAGCAATCAATGTCGAGCCAAGTTGAGGAGAGAGGGTTTAGTTATTTGGGTTTAGGCGGTTTAGGGTGTGTGAAAGTTTCACCGTAAACTCATGAACCTTAACCAGGTGACATAGCCTTCCCTGTGTGTGTAAACGCAGCAAGGGGTTGGGGTCAATTCTCCTATTCGAGGGCGCTGATACCGCGCAGGGTCCAGGTCCAGGAGTCCAGAAGAAACAGCTGTCTCGCGGATCGGGCTTCCAGGCTACCCCATCCCTGACTGTTACCACTTTGCAGATCTTTGCAGCATCTGGCTCCAAAACCAGCGCTGTCACAAGAATTGCCTCTCCGAGACCCTCCATCTGTGTGACCTTCACCAGTTTAGATACGTTCTTGCACAGCACAGAAAGAGCAAGAAGTGTCACAAGGATTCCGGCTCCAAGCCCTGATCCCTGTCACTGTTGTCATGCTTGACATCAGTCGCAGAAACGACACCTGGCAGGAGGAGTCTGCACAAAATTAGCAGCACACCCGCTCGCGGCCAACAAAAAACGGGCAAACAAGGCAACGCACATACTCAGACGATGTTGCTATGGTTTGGGTCTGGTTGGGAGGAAGACCGCGTCCGCCGAGACACGAAGCCATTCAGCCCAGGGATGATCCTGCTTTACTAGATACATTGGAACTTGTTCAGGGCCCGATCCCTGGAAAGCCGAAGAACGGTTTCGCTTGTTGGTCGCAATTAAGCACCTCGTTGCAAAGTTGATTTGCAGGCAGGAGTTTGTCCCTGGGCTCGTCTCGCCTACATCGTGGGCAGCCTGATGCTGCAAGGGCTTCTCGATCAAATTTGGGAGTTCGCATGCATGCTCGATTCATGTACACGCTTGAACACGGCACACGAGTCCGACCATGATCGCCAACTTCTAGCAGCTGCTAGCCCCTGTGAAACTTGTGCAGGCGGAAAGATCGGTAGGATTGTGCAGGCTGACCCTGTGGCTGAGGTTTTGGGTTTACTGCAGCTTCGATGCAAGCAGCACTCCCTTGTGGTCGCATGCAGGGAAATGCTCTGGTGCACACTACTGCAAAATTGGCATTGTGCTCAGGCTTTTTCCATACCTACTCCTACTGGAGACAGCTGCTCGTCACAGAAGCAAAGTTTCCCTCCCTGGGTCTGGGAAGCATTCCGTGGGCGGAAGGTCGAGTCCTTTCCGGCCGAGGTAGGCCAGGTAGGCATCTCTAGGCGTCATCTACTTGGGCGAAGGTTGCAGACGAATCCTGCCTATCTGATCGACTTCGGTGCAGAGAAGCACGGTTTGGAGGGCCGCTGGGATCATTTCCAGGTGAAGGACCCCTTGTGTAAGCGACCGAATCATGCTCCTGTTGAAAGGCATCCTTCGATGCTACCGGATTTGTTTTCATGCAGAGGACCCCCGGCTTCCGGAACACGAAGAAGGTCTTCCTCTGCTTCCACAGCTTAGAGAGCCTTGCCAACGGCACGGCGATAAAGGTGTGACGCCGTGGGCTGCTCCATTTCATGCTTCCTCCCAAGGAAAACGAGTATGGCAGCGCCGGAAAGGCCAAACTCCGTCGCCAAGCTAGAACATCAACATGTCTGACGCATGAACTGTGCAGAGAGGTTTCGCGGCTTTCCTGTTGCTGAGGCTATGGACCCGACGGCCAGGAGATGGGCGATGTAGACATCTGAGTGCTGAGACGAAGGAAAATGGCTCCGTGCAGGCACCTACTATTGATACCAGGGCTTTACCTGTCAACCTCGGGCATATAGCATCTCTCTTCCTCTCACTCCTGGCTAAATCGCCTGGAACCTCTTACATCTTGTGCCAATGAAGTTCTGTGTCCGCAGCTTCGAATTCATATTTGTCAAGACCAGAACTCGCTCAGCACGGCACACCTTCGCAGTCGAGCATACTGCGGTTGACCGGAGGCAGATGGTCGCATCAGGATGATTGACTGTACAGGGTCTGTGTAGCCTTCTGCGGAGACGACCGTGCCCAACATCTCAACAAGAGATGAAGGACTCCCTTGCTGGGAAGGGCTCGTGTCCTGTGCAGTGGTGCGTGTTAGCAGTATCTTTCGTTGTCACTACTGAAGTCTGTCCAAACCCGATAGCTGAATGTTTACATCAGTTTGCAACGACACAACCGCATCGAAGTGGTTAGCTTCGTACCTGTAGCCTGACAAGCAAACACTTCACATGTGCTCCGGCCCATGAAGCTTCCTTGCGCCCCATGTCATTGCACAGAGCATATGTCGGCCTAAGCCACGGATCCCTTGCAGCTGCTCCGAGACACGCAGCATGGCTAATTAGATTGTTAGCGCAGGAGCCTGAGGCCGAGTTGCCCAGCCGGAGTCTCGGCAGACGCGAACCAGATTCGAACGTGCGGAAGCCAAGTAGTGCCAAGTGCACCTCCAAGGTCCAAGGGAGGCACCTTCGGAAGCAGAGGCTGAGGTCCAAAGTCTCAAGGAATCTCAAAAGCTCAGAGGAGCTCTGATTCGCTCAGGTCACAGCCTGGCGAGTGCAGTGGGCCTCACTGAAGGAGGCACGGACGTTCTCTTCAAGAGCGACCCCAGGAAGATGGAATCGAACGCAGAAGTGTGGACAACAGCAACCCACACTGGCAATGTGTGGGCCTAACCGACGTGGCAGTCAGCATCCAAAGACAGCTCGAATGTGCAGGACCAGAATCATGCCTTCCACTGCCGCCCAAGCTGCATGAAATATTGGAAGGGAGATACCGAACAGGCAGCAAGGTGAAGCGACTGAGCGATCGACGAGACCACAGCATCAACCAGTTCACAGTGCTATCAGAAGTGATGATTCCTCGGTTTGCGTGCAGGCTAATGTCATGAGCACATGCAATTACCCTTGTGCGAAGCGCCGAATGTTTTTTTCGCTCTTAAATTCAGCATGCTCCTTCCAACGACAGTGTCGCCTGCTTCTTAGTCGTGGAGGAAAGATCAAAGGGTCTGCTCTACGTGAAAAGAACCAAGTTGCAGCACCTGCTGTGCACTACTCTGCAACAGTAACTGTTGTGAGCCGCCATGACCCGCTCGCCGTGCCAAACTTCTCAGGAGGCCGGCGAATACGAGGAGGGCTGCTGTGATGAGAGGCGCCGGTCCGCAGGAAGGTAGATTGGTAGTGTTTCAGGGCGAACTTGTAGAGATTTTTTTGCAGTTCCTCACTCCGGCTCTGGGGAGAAAGAACGTAATGTCAGACCGTCCCATGCAGTCTTGCTCCGAACATGTCAACGCAGGTTTGTCTGCCATGATTCAGAACAAGCTCTAGAGAAGCGACTTGGACGCACAGCCCGCACTTTTGCGCTCGCGGTAGAAAGCTTCGCGGTAGAATGGATCGCATTTTTCTCAGTTGGGCCAACAGTCTCTGGGCCGGTCTCGCCGATCTGCGGGCCAGCGCCAGCAACCCATCTTCTACGTACCAGCCCAAAAACAGGAAGGCGATCGCTGAATTCTCAAGGTCAAGCGATTGCAGACCCCGGAAAGTTCTGGGCCCTCCCAGGGTCAGACGGCGCAGGACAGGGAATGCAGATTGCAGGTTCCATGTGTTCACGCGGAGTCGTTTCTCGCCGCCCCGTCGCGCCGGAGGACGTCCAGCGATCTTTCCAAAGCTTCAAGGCATCGGGCCAGGGACCGGTGTCTCGCAGCACCGCTCAGACAAAGTGAGGCCGAGCAGAGCCAGGCCTTCGAGCGTCTCCTTGGCGAGCAGCAGCTCCTGGAGGAGAGACGCCGCGAGAGCGGGCCGCTTTTTGCTCGCGACGTGTGTTTTCTTTCCTCTTTTTTGCATCCAGGATGCGCTGGCCTCCCTGGAGAAGCGCTTCGACAGCTGGGTAGGCGAGAGAAGACTCGCACGAAGCCCGTTTGAGCCTGAGCTCGAAAGCAGGAGAGTCGAATTCCATGCGGCAGAGGAGCCTCGGGAAGGGTAGAACCATCAGGGGCGCTTGCTTCGCTGCGGCAGAGTTGTTTGTGAATACTTTCCGTGAACTCGAGTTCCTTGCCCATAGTTACGGCCCAAATCGGTAGCCCACGAACTCCCCGTGTCCAGCCCTCGAAACGGCCGAGTGCACGGAGCACGGTTTCACTGCTCCCACAGTGTGAAGTGACTGATGACATGCAGCCTGGAGAGGTGGTGGCTAGCTGAAAGCTTCAAAAAACATCACCGCATGACTGGGCCTCTGACCACAAAGCATCAAAAGGGGAGGGGCTACCTTTCTGCAATTGCCAGGATGTAGGATTCTGGGATGCATGATCCCTGTGTGCCAGGACCGGATCGCGTGCGAAGGACTCCTGCAAATGCATTTCGCACCGCCTTCGGGAATACAGGCAGTGTCTCAGGGTCGAACACGTTCGCCATTTGCAGTCATGTAGTTTAACCGACACCGCACACAGAGTTGTGAAGAAGGAGAACCTGAATGCTCCCGATGATCCACGAGGAGGCATTGCTGCTGATAGGGTGCGACAGACTCAAGTCTGCTTCGTGACGGGGTGTACACTAGCATCATGCGGCAGCACAACTTCCCCTCATCACGCATGCAGAAGCAGAAGTGTCATTGCAGAGCAGGGACTTCATCTGTTCGTCAACTGTTTTATAATCCTATAGCTTCGCAAAGCACAGGTGTCTTGCTGAGCTTGTTGCGATGGCCTTTGTTCTTGTCGTCAGGCAATGCATTCCTCGAGGCCGCCCGGCAAACCTGCCAAACCAGTTGCGATGTGTGTCTTCTGTAGTTAGGGCTGTGCAGTTCTTGCCGGATGTGGTCATGGCGTTAAGATCTTGTATCGGGGCCGCAAGCGGGAACGTCTTGGATTCAGTACAACAAACAGACGCGAGGACCCCGAGCTGCTGCAGCTGAAGACGGAGCTCCAGGAGCTAGAGGCGGTCGAGGCTGGGGAAAGGACCTTCCACCATTGCGCAAAGGAGTCCTAACCGCAACCAGCATTGATGGTCCAGCTGATTCCTGCCGCTATCATGAGTGCTGGTGCTGATGCTGATGCCAACGATAGATACTCGTACCTGCCATCATCATCATCATCGTCACCATCAGCATCGCTAGTCATCATCGTCACTAGCGCTGGCCCCACCGGTGCACCACCACCACCCTCCTTGTCGTCGTCGTTACAGGCGGCATCATCCTCAATACGCTGCCATCATTATACATTGTGCTAATTTTCCCTGTTTTCCCCTTCGGACAAGGTGTGAAGAGCCAGCTTCGAGCCGCATGGCACGTCCTTTCATGTTGCAGGTGCAGGAACCCTCTTATGGCGGCTGGGCTGAGACGGACCACCAGGCCATCCGGACTTGAAGACACAGTGTGGTGTAGCTCCAGTTCTTCTGGCGGCCCCCCAGCCAGGTCTTCGTTCGGATCCTGCGAGTCTTTCGGATGCAGGCCTCTGTCTCTGCCGCAGATGGAGAGCTTAGAGTTTCAGACCGCTTTTTCTTGCGATACGCACTGTAGAGAAATTGGGGGAAATCTTCTCCCATGGGAAGCGGGCTTCTCACTTGAACCTGTTGTCTCGTCCGAACCTCAAGTGAAGGAAGGAGCCCTTTCCCAAAGTTAGTTTGAATGAAGAATTCCTTCTGTTCCACATTTTGAGCTGGAAGCGACACCCCTAGAAAAGATCCACAGAGAACTTGGCGAGGCAACTTCGCAGTGCTACGCTCGTTTGGCTTTTCAGTTTCCGGACTTGTCTGAGGCACGCGATTTTGTTCAAGTTATGGACTTGGGACAGCCTTGCTTTGCCTTGCGACTTGATTCCACCGTTGTGGTCGCCGTTGTCATGAGGATGTTGTGGCTGTTTGTTCCCTCATGTTCCCTCCAGGCCTGTATGACCTCATGTTGTAGCAAGTTGATGCTGGCTTCAGGCTGCTTTGGCAGATCATGTAAAATGGTACAGTGAGCATCAGGCGCGGCAGGCGCGACTCGCACTCCGGGGGAACTTGACCCTGCATTGCATTTTGCCGGCGTTGCCGTCAGGCGAGACGACGCTTGCTCTTGGCACGATGGCGGGAGCGGCGGTCCTTCTTATCCTCGCAGAGCCAAGCTACCAAACTGCATCAGTGTGCGGCGTCTTGTAGCAATGACTTGCTCCGAAACATTGAGGCCAACGAGAAACGCAACCAGGCACCTGTTCGAGCTCCGACCTCGGTCCCTGCAGATGAAGAAACTGCTCAAATTCCGAAGTCAGAATGAGACCATTGACTATTGTGACTTGAGCTTCTAAGCGACCTTGACCAGAAGTCGCACTTCCATGTTTGCTATACCTTGGGGAGCCGTCTCACCCAGGAAATGCGCGAACGGAGCCGTGACGAGCAGCGACGACGAGCTGGGACCCAGGCTCTGCTGTCACATCATGTGCGAGCTGCGAAGCCTTTGCTTCTCGCATCGCGTCATTGCTGCGGCATTTCTGGATAGTCCTGGATATTCCACAAGACCCTTAATAGGCATCATGGGCGAGTCAGGGCATCAATGTAAAGGTGTTTGGAAGATGTGAGAGGCAAGTGTTCAAGACGGTGCACGTGCAAACCCTAGGCCCCAGGTGCAGGGTTCACCTTTGTTCGACGGTGTTTCGATCTGCAAATCACTAGGCGATTGCTGCCTTCGTGAGTATTTGGTGCTTTCGCCCCTGCAGATGTTCGAACTTCAGGCTTTCGGGTTCAGAAACAAACATCTTTACGAAAGTCTGGCACCATTCGTCGTGGCATGTTTGCAATATCTTGCAAAGAGCGACCTTCTGATGCTCACTTGCCCTCTGTATAGTTACAGAGGCTGCGACAACGCGTGTCTGGCAAAACTCGCCGTTGATCACGTGTGTCACTGATGAAGTCCTGCCCTGCGCAGAGGAACCTTTCATGCGCGTCCTTGTCTTTCAGGTGGAAAAAACAGGAAAGAGCAGTGCGCGGCACACACCCCCGGCACTGTACGTAAGAATTCAAGAGAGGTTTTGACCGGCTTTGCGTGAGCAGTTGACTCGAAGAAGTCGTTGCAAGTCGAAAGTTGCTCTACCAGCGGTAGACGGAAGGATTCGCGTCAACAAAGACTTTTGACCATTGTCCGGGTACTAGGCTCCGCCCCAACATGCACTCACAGCTTTCTCTATGCATGCTCTAATCCGTTCGAGTGGAGAGCGTAGCCCTCGCATGCGTCCATCGTCCAAGATTTCCGGTTTGCGTGGAGAACATCCATGGCCCAGCCAAGATGATGTGCAAGTGGAAGCATTCTTGAATGCGGACTCGCAGTGGAAATAGAACTGGCGTGTGTGCTTCTTCTCCTGCCATTATTGCGCACACTGCTTGTCTTGAATCATTCAGCTTAGTGGTGGTTTTGGGGATGCACGATGCCGTGTCAGTTGGCGCTTGCTGCCACTTAGGCGTGCACGTAGGTGCGCGGAAGCACTCGGGGCCCGTCCTGGTACATTTGTGGCCGAGGTCCGCGCCTGGCGAGAGGCACGGGAGGAGGAGGAGAATTTTTCGGGTGCTTCGGGGTCGGTGCGGTGGGGAGACCTTTGGAGCAGAGGAGAGCCGCCTTGCAGCGATGCAGCGGCAGGTCGAGCTGGAGCAGGTCGGAGTGTCCTGGGATTCCATGGGAGCATGGGCATAGCGTCATATCGCGTCGCAGGCTCGAGAAGCGAGGAGGCGAGAGAAGCGCCACCAAAAGAAGCTGAAGGAGTTTGCTGAGGCTGCGCACTGGAGCCAGATTGAACACTGGGGGAGAAAGCAGCACAGAACTTTAGCAAATCTGAACTGTTTGCAGCATGTTCCCGTGAGTACACCGACATGCCCATATGATACGTCATTAGCAAGCACTGTGAGTGCTCCGGAGCCTTGTCGTAGCCTTTGTAGGCTTACCGGAAGCAGAGGGACGAAGAGAAACGCCAGGCCCGGGATTAGAAGATGACCTGCATCCAGCAGTTACCATTAGCACTTAGCTGCGGGGGCCGCAATGCTGGCAGGATGTTTGTACAAACGTCCCGTCCTACTCGGAATGTAAGTATATCATGTTGCAATTCACGTACGCGCAGCCTCAGAGTAGCGCCATGGAGGTGTGGCAGCATGTGTCAACTGGCAGGCTGCGCAATCGCTGTCTTCTCAAGCTTCGCAGCGCGCTTTGTCTGAGGAGAATGGCGAAATGGGCGACTTGAGTCGACACATTCACTGCACTTCCTCGCAACTCCCAATCGTGTCAGTCACCAGGAGGATCGCCAGCGCATTGCCGTGCACTCAGGCGAAGTTGAAGCTTCGATTCGGTTCTGCTTCTGCTGCCGGAGACTTCTGTCAGCTGTACTGAGGTACAGCGAAACTTGGCCATGCTGACGAAGAAGATGCAGGTTCTGATGCGACTGGCTCTTCGAGGTTGGCTCCGTTGAAATCTGCGTCCTGGAGGCCATGCCGCGGGGTGATCCTCCGCAGTCGGTCCAAAGGCGCGGGCAAACGGCTCCTTGATTCGACTGGCTGCAGTTGGCATCGCAGGAATCCTGCCTACGATCATGTCAAGAGCAGGCCCTGTGGAGTCTTGCGGTTGGGACCAGCTTTCCAAGCTGACATTGTTGTGCCAGGCTTCATGATCAGACGCGGAGCTTTGCACAGAAGATTGCGCAGAAGGCCCTTCATCTGCTAGACTTCAGAGGCTGTCGTTCAGTTCTACAGGTTCTGAAGCCGAAAAATGCACTGCCACCTTCGGCAATTGCACGCATCAAGTCCTTGAAAGCCTTCGTTCCGAAGCTCAGCAGCAGGAAGACGAAGAGGAGGAGGCGCAGCAGTAAGGTGTCGCCCGCGCATGCCGAAGCCAAAATTGGCGCATGGCAAGGGCGGAAGAAACAGTGCACACGCAACAACAGGGGAGCACCGAGCGCGATTCAAGCTCGCGCGATCGAACAAGCAGGTTCAGGCATTGGGGTCGCAAGGTTTCTGCCGTTGCTTTCTTGTGGCTTGAAGTATTGTTCTTTAATCATGGAATGTGGGGTTAGTTCAGGGTTTGTATGTCGTATGCAGTCTACTGGTTTTTAAGGCTTCGTTTTTGGAGTTTTCGTTGTCAGGGTCGTTGGGGCTGAAGCTTTTCAATGTCTTGAGTGCCAAGACAAAAAAGCCTTACCGATTTGAGGGTTCAGGGTGTTCTTGTTTTTGGGTCAAGGGTACAGTTGGTCTTCAGCTTAGTTGAGTTTCGGCTGTTCATATTGTGGGTTTTTTCCGCTCATGATTTGGGGCTTCAGGCTTGGGGTGTAGGGGTAAGGGTTTTGGGGTTCGGGCTTTGAGGGTTCCGGTGTTTTAGGGTAATAGGCTTGCTTCGTGCGCGAATCCGCTGTCCAGCGGGAAGTTTCCGTTGCATGCACGAACCCCAACTTAGCGAACCGCGCGCATCCGTGTGCGAATCCTCTGTTTGAGTCTTCGCTTCCCCTGTGGAATCCGCCGCCTGCTGCAGTTGCTCGACCGAAGCTCCCGATGCTGCCACGTAGATCTTCGGCTTTGCTGTGCATAAAGTCTCGCTGCGTGCAGTAGCAGCCACCACGAGGCTGGAGGCTCTGCAGCATCCAAGACGTGCTTGCAGAATGTGCCCTTGCGGTCGATGCCAGTCAAGTGAAGGGTGACGTTGTCTGCTGGTTCACAACAGCCGATATTCCAGCAATCAAGCTCAGATCAGCAGCATGCTCGTGCTGAGCTGAACAAGAAGCGTACAACGTAGGCCGCAAAACTCCTAGGCGATGACTTTGAAGGTAGATCTAGTAACTTGTCTCTTGGAATGACCTTAACCCACCAAAACCTACTTTTTTGTAGGGTCCTTATAAATCCCATATTAGAGTTTATAATAAGAACCTACAAAAAAAGTGGGTTTTGGTAGGTTAAGGGATATTGCAAAACTGGAGAAGCGTTCAGAGAAGTTCAGACAGTCCCGCATCTTAGCATGGATGCTGAGTTGCCGCGAGGTCCTGCACTCAGTCCACTCCAGGAAGACAAACGTCACAGTTTCCGAGACTCATGTGTGTCAGTTTTGCCTTGATGTGCAGTGCAGATATACAGGAACTGTCATGTCACCAGCATGTTGGTCATCATCCACGGAAGATGATTAGGTCATAATGCAAGACTGGCCCTTTGGTGTTCGAAGCAGTCCTGACTCAGTCGTGCTTGTTTTTGCTGCCGCAGCCTGACCGGGCTCCCAGGCAAGTCGCAGCGCGACTCTCTGAGTTGAGATGCATATGAGATGGAATTGAGCCTTGAAGCCTCGTGTCATACTCGCGATGTGTGGTCTGCGCTTGGCCCTGGGCTTTCTCGCCTGCTGGGCCATCGCTTCTGCGCTCAGCGACGCTTTCGCAGAGCCGTACCGTGGCGAAAGGCAGGCGCCTTAACCTCAGTGGTTGGTGTTGGATCGGTTCCGAGGTTGGCTTTGGAAGCCTCCACCGAAGTTCCGCTGCTGCTCTCCTTCACCACAGGCCGATGCGGGGGGAAGTTGCAAGAAGGAGTGTGGGATTGCACACAGGAACTGATGCACACGTTTGCAGCTTGATTTGGACCTGAAGCACTATTCTTTGTCGTGGGAGGCAGCCTTGAGCAATTGAACTTGTAACTTGATCAGTGTCTAGCACCGTAAGAGCAGTGTTTGTGGGCGGATTCCCATGGCGAGGCTCACATCCTGAGTACGGCGTGCCCTTCGAGGATGACGGCTCCACAAGGCCTAGTTCCCAAATATGCAGCAACATGCGGGTATGTGCTCATACCCCGGCAGCCGGATATGCAGGATGATGGTCTCCTTCCAGCTGACAGTCTTCTGTCAACCTCAGCTTGAAGTTTGCCACCGGGCCAGATTCAGTGCACGCGAAGATGACATGTTCGATCTTCTCCCAGTGGTTGGAAACAAGCAGAGTGCGCTGCACAGGCCAGTATGTGGATCTTGGGGAGAACAGCAACTGTCGAAAGGCCAGCCGATGTTGAAGATAAGCCGTTGGTGATTGGATTGATTCGTCCCAGCAGGACTGGGATATCCTCCTGTGATCCCCTTGTAGCAGTGCTAGTGTAGCCAGTGTCTATTTAAAGGCCTTACTCTTCGAATCCTTATTGCGTTTTTGTTGGAGGGAGAGGGCTTGCAAACCAGGGCTCTACATATCAGTCAGCCAAACACGTACATGACATGTGCGCGGCCGTGCCGTGAAGACAGATCCACGGTGCAGGTCTTGGAAGCCCCTTTGCTGCCTCCGATTCAGCGCTGTACGGGCCTAATTCATCTCTGCGGCCCCGGACCCGAGCAGCTACAGTACCAAGGCGTGAATGGACCGTTTGGCATCATGACCTTGGAGCTCCGGGGTACTTTGACAAGAAGCACACGACCCTTAGCTCAACAAAAAGTGTAGAGCGGTGGACAACCAGAACAGTATCGACCCCGTTCCCCTTAAATTTGACCAGAGTAGATTTGAACAAGCAGCGCCACTCGAAGGGTACGACCTACTGGTTCTGGCCACACTGCCTTCATCGGGCAAACGCATCCAGACCTTCATTGTGCGAACACTTCCTGCAGGCACACTGATAGCTGTGTGAAGCAGCAAGTTTTGCGATCAGCACGTTCATGCATCCACTCTACAGCAATTCTTGAGTGTTTGTCCTGCTTTCAGGTGCATATCTCGATGTGACACAGGTCACTGCGCTGGAGGAGGCCACCGTGCAGATTGCAGCTTGGCAGAGAGGTGTGCGGATGTGTGCGGTACGCCTGCTGCCTCGCAACACCGCCAGCAACGCCAATGCCAAGGTCCCGGAGTATGTGACCAAGGCACCGGGTAGCAAGTACGTCACAACCTTCCAGGACGTCGTTCCCCAAGCCGCTCGGCCCTGCCTTCAGTACTTTCAGCAGCTTGTGTTTCCTCACCAGTCATCCGCAGCAGTTGTTGGAATGTGTCCTGCTCAAAGTCCGACTGCAGCACCCCACTGCGTCTTTCAGGTTTGTCCGCCATTCATTCGTGTATATTTCCTGTCAGCTGGTGCGTTGCACATGAAGTCGATCCTCTCTTGCGAGCTGCCTTTGTAAGCTTAGTCGCTTAGTCTTACAAGCCGTTCCTGTTATGCACTTTCTCCGGCTTCTGGCACGGCTCGAGGTAGCGAGCCCTGGAACCAATCTACACCAGCGGCTTTGCTGCTCTGTGTGCTGTGCTTTTTTGTGAGACGTTCGGGCTGCATTGCAGGTCGATTGGGTCTTGGCTGACACAAGGTACAGCTTCATGCTCGCTGGCTCCAGCAATCCGTTTGTGGCTGGCGACGAGTGCCCTGGCTCGAAATTTATGGTGAAGCTGGATTTCAGTCCCCGTATTTTGTGCTGTGATGATCGGAAGATGTTCCGGAATGTTGTGTCTGTATGTGTCGATGAGCTTGCACTCATACATGGTTGTCGTCTTGCAAGGTAGTGTCGCTGTCTGACATCTACGTGATGGAGTAGATTTGCATAGCAGGGATGAAATGCTTGCGGCATGGCTAAGGTTGGATCGCATGTTGTTTGATCGAAGGATTCGTATCTTCTCATCCCCCTTCCTCTTCGCAGACGAGGGCCTGAGCTTTGGCGGCTTCTGTCCGGGCTTCGACGTTGCCGGGTCCTGCTTGCCTGTTGCAAGGGGGGGGCAGCAGGGCGGCAGCGCTGACGCGCACTCCGTATGGGTCAAAGCTTCGGTCCCGATCTCGAAGCCAACAGAGAGAGAGGCAGAGAGGCAGAGCCAAAAGAGACAAGTCTTCCCGAGCCTGCAAGGCTATAAACTGCGAGGATTCTTCTTTTGCCTTTGCCAACCCAAGAAAAGACAGGGGTGCTCGTACGAGGGAGATGTTTTTGCAGGTTTGCTGACCCGCTGATGCATGCCACCTGCACTATCGAGTCCATACCCGAGGACTGAACGGAAGAGAGGGCGGAGGTGTAGAAAGGCCAAACATGCTCAGTTCTGTCGGCACTTGCGAGGATGGCCGTGCAGGCTACAACATGCTGGTGCTGCGCTTTAGTTCTGGAGCTTCCTTGGGCACCACGGCACAGTGCCTGTGAAGCACTGCAGCCGCAACCTGCCACAACTACTAAACAGTGCTGTTTCTTTCGCGCGCATTCTGTCAAGGTACTTCCGTGTATCGCTTGCGACGGCAAAAGGCCGGGCTGACTTCTCTTGCAAGCTGGGGTTTGAGGGTGGCTGTTTCGTTGATGAAAGCGCATAAGCATGCATAAGCTGGGTTTGGCTTGTTGTTTCGTGTGTTCGCTGCGTTTGCTTTGCTTTGTGCAGTCTGATATCTGTGTCCTGGGTTTCTTGCTTCGTTGGGTCTGCCTTGTTTCGCGCGGTCCGACTCCTCTGCACTGGGTTTCTTGTTTGCTGGGGTTTTGCTTTGTTTCGTGGTGTTTCGTGCGATCGCGTGTCCTGGATTTTTTTGTTTGCTCGGGTCTGCTAGAAACGAAGAGAAGGGCAAAGTGTGCTGTCTGTTGCCGTTGTTAGCTGCAGGCCATCAGCTTGTCAGAGCTTAGTCGGTACCCGAGTGAGATGACAAATATTTTGTAAACGATGGTGCGCGTGCAGCGGTCACGGGCAGCAGGACAAGTTCGACCCGTTCGTGCCAACCATCTCCCTTGTTTCAAAAAAGACGCGGAAGTCTGTGACGCGGAAGGTGATGGTTCGATCGGCTACTGGTATGCGGCTTCTCGAGATGGAGCAGCGGTCTTCGACAAGGCAAGCCGGCGGTTGGCTTCCCGAAGTTTCACCGAATCGAACCGGCGCTGAGGTGATCGCGGCTAGCCGACCTTTCTTTGTGGAACCTCAAGTGG